CTGCAGGCAGAGACAGGAAGTACGCTAACACTGCCCCCTGCAGGCAGAGACAGGAAGTACACAACACCGCCGCCTCAGAATCTTACTGCTCATATAAATGCTGATTGTGTGTTTTTGTCAGGTACAGGTGAACCCTCAGATGGGTGTAATTCCTGTGTCCGGCCTGCAGGAGCAGAATTGCTTAGACTGTGACTGTTTGTGTTCCAGGAGATCGGCACGGGAGGAACCTGTCAGTGGAAGGTCTGCGGACTGGATCCGAGTACCACGCTGGCGCTTTACTTTGAGGTCGTCAACCAGGTATAAACACCTGACCTCTGACCTTTGATTCTGTCACCGTCACCATGAAGCTACTGAATTATTGATATCCACCAATTAAAAGAAAGTTCAGTGATCTGCAGTGATGTCATGGTACAGGATGATGTCATAGATCCTGCTGTTGAGAAAATGAGAGCTCAAGCTGACAAAATAAAAGCCCCACTGATGTTTTGATAGTAAAATGTTGGTGTTTAAAACAACAATTAGACCAGTGATCATCTGTTTGTAGTTTATTTTTTTAGTTTTTATTTATTCGCTCTAATTATTTTAAAAGTAATATCATTTTATTTTTGCTGTTTAGCGGGACAGCTTTCAAAATGAAAACGGCAAAAAACTAAAGCAGCCAAACTGACAGTCTTTCTAAGAGGATGCTCAGTCATAATAAGCAGGAAATGAGTTTGAATTTGAAGTGCACACATCAGGGCGGAGATGCTGACTTCCAGGCTCCGCCGAGTTTGTCCATCATCCTCGATCCTGCTGGGCTGCACAAGCCGCTCGTCACTCCCAGAGTCTCCAGCTGTTTCTCAGCTCTGTTCACGTGCAGCACGGCGTCCAGCTCAGAGTTTAAACGCTCAGTGTAACTGAGCCCATGGAACAGTTTGGCCTTCATCCTCCGTCTACTCTGTGCTGATGTGGTCACGTCAGCATAAACACACCTCTGCTGAAATGGAGCTGAAAGAGCTCGGACTGTTTGTGACTCTGAGTGGATCAGGAAATGTTTCGTGTTGTGAGACTGCGGGAGATCATCAGCTGAACATCAGTGTGCGGTCTTCGAACACAACGTCACGTCAGAACTCGTCCACGCTGAAGAAGAAGATGAGAAGTATGGCCTACATTTCCCAGAGTGCACAGGTCCAGTGATGGTGATGGGAGGGTCATGGTCTTGTTAGTGTTTTGGGAGAAGATGGAGGCTGTGTTGCGGTCATACTTGTTGTTGTTGTTGTGCTAGGGCGATTGGTCGCAGGTAGATGGAGGGTGGAGCTCTGGGAGTGGGACTCCAGGAACATCCCGGCACAAGGAACGAACCTGCGGAAACTTCGGCACACCGCCGCCCTGTACCTGCTGGAGTCACAGAGAGACAGACAGGAAGTGACGTTCCTGTTCACTATGACATCATGAGCGCGTCATAGTGACGTTTCATTACTGCTTCAAAACTGATCGGAGCCTTCGATAAAGAAAGTCTGACTCACGTCTGCGTCATGCAGGTGATCCACGGGTTGAGCGCGGCGCTGGTCAGAACCAGCCAGGAGGAGAGGGCGGCGGTCACGGACGGACTCTGCTGACCGCTCAGCGTCTCGTACAGACACACAGTGATGTAGGGCAGCCAGCAGACCAGCAAACACACTGCCAGGAGACAGGAAACAGAGTCACATGACTTCATCAGCAGCCCCTCTATGAGTGAGCTGGTGTTTGGAGACTAGTTATCTGTGGACTAGTTAAAGAGGCGTAGGGACTAGAGAACGGCCTTGAAGTTGCAGATCTGTCTACCAATCTGAAGGTGGGCGGTTCAATCCCTGGCCGCTCCAGGCTGGAGACACTCTCTCTGCATGAACAGGTGGACGTGGCGTGTAGAGTGGATGAGTGCTGTGTTAGAGCCAGTAGCCATTCACTCGTAGCGCTCTCATTGACCTTATGGCGAAAACATGAACCTGGTTTATCGGTCACTCAGACCGTCTGCAGCCGGCTGTGGTGACCTTTGACCCTGTCTGTGTTTATGACCTCAGTGTTTGTCCCTATAATGAGAGTAATGGCAGTGAGTCACAAAGATAAACATGGACGCTGATCCTCAAAGACGGCCGCTGTGACGTCGAGGTTTTAGTTTAGAGGGTAAACGGCTGCGGCCCAGTGGTCACATGGTCCTGCTGTTTGGTTTGAGATTATGAGGACATTGGATCTGCTCGGCTTTACGAACGGGGAAATGTTTTCTGTCGAAGGAAAAAAATAATTTCATGCATCAGACTTAATCAGCAGAAATCCAATACACTGTTTCCCGTTAGGCAGGATGTTCAGTCCCAGTGGAGAAATACTGGAACTCCATATGAAATCACTGGTAATTACTGGGACTGTTGCACCAATTAAAGAATCTAGAGGACAAGTTTCAGACTACTTACTGAAGTTTAAGAGACTGCAGAGATTTTTAGACTAGCTGTAGATTTTGAGCGTTTAACAGGAGTTGGAGATTAGTTAGTAACATCTGTGTACTGAAGTTTGTTTACTAGCCTGAGCATTACTTTCACACAGCTGTAAGTTTGTAGCTGATTTGAGGAGTTGTGGAGATGTTTGTGGGCTAGTTACAGAGGTTGGAAACTAGTCGTCGGACCTCTGTGTGGGGGAAACTTGGAGTAAAACTCAGAGGACGAAGTTTTCACAAAGAACGTGAGTCGGTGAAGTGGAGGTGTAACCCGTGTCCCTGCAACGTCAAGGAACAGCTTGAGCTCACCTGAGGTGGTGACCATGACGATGGAGCTCCTCAGGTAGTTGTTGGCAGGAACGTAGAAACAGTGCAGCTCGTTGCACATGAAGGTTCCCCTCCTGGCCTGCTTCCTGGCCACGTACACGATGTATCCGTACAGCGAGCACATGGTGAGGATCGGCGCTACGATGCCCGCCCCCATCCACAGCAGCACGAAGTACCTGTTCTCCGGGGTGAAGCTCGGGCAGCAAAGGAACCGTGACTCGCTGTAGGCGTAGCTGCCGAAACCCAGCAGTGGCATGGTGGCGTTGGCCAGGCAGAACAGCCAGACTGCGATCAGCACCGCCCGGCTCCGCCCCGCCGTCCAGATGCTGTGGAAGCTGAGTGCAAAGCAGATCTCCGTGAACTTGTAGATGGTAGCCCAGGCAAGCGAGTGCAGGGAGGCGGTCTGCAGTAGGAGGAAGATGAAGCCGCCGCCCTGACAGACGTCGGCCTCACTGGAGTGTCTGACAGGCTGGGAGAGGCTGTTGTACGCACTGAAGGGGATGGCGGAGAGTCCGAGAGCGAGGTCGCTAAGGCTAAAGCTCAGGGTGAGGCCCAGCGTGTCGGACCGCAGCTCCTTGTTCAGCAGGAGCACCAGTAGGAGGAGGAGGTTCCCACAGGTGGATGCCACGCTCGTCAGCAGCATGAGAGCGGCGTACAGCGTGCTCAAAATGTCCGCCATCTTCACATGGACTCGCAGGACAGGAACGTGCACCGCGCCGAAGTGATCCAATCACCTGCAGGCTCTCTGATCAGCTGATCGATCAGCTGTTGGTTTCTTCTGAAACGAGGAGCAGAGGACAAGCAGCTTCAGCAGGCTGTCGCAGCAGCTGAGAGTCCGCCGTCACCACAGAGACTGCTGGGATTACCTGAGGCTCTGTGAGTCACACCTGAGCTGCAGTTGAAAACAGAGAGAGCGCCTTTCAAGGACGTTTCCACCAATCAAAAACAAGAGCCAAGACCAGAAGAAGAGTCCACCTGAACCTGCAGCTGACCGGACCAATCGGGAAGAAGAACCATGCCGTCACCTTCATCGATTGATTATCAGCGCGGTCTGTGGTCTTCAGAGGTTAAAGGTCACACTGATGTTGGCTGGAGTTGATCAGTCGGTGTGTGTGAGTCTGATCGCAGTCCAACGAGTCTGATCGGCTCAGTCTGAGCGGGGGAGGGTGGACCGCAGGGGGCGTGTTCTCCTGGGGGTGTGTTGCCATGGCGCACCTGTTTGACACCTGCTGTGACGATGATGAGCGCACACACACACACACACACACACACACACTTACCTGCTGGCTGTAAAGTAAACAAGATGAACATCCAATATCCTGTGTGTGTGTGTGTGTGTGTGTGTGTCAGTCACGCAGCTTGACTCAGGTAATAACAGGTGTGCAGGTGTGTAATCACCCTCACCACCTGCTGAACCTCAGACCGCTGAGGAGCTCAGGCCGGGGTTGGGTGTGAAGCAGCCAATCACAGCTCAGCTTTGTTAAAGAAAGTGACCTCTGAGTCACGTCTGGAGGCAGAAAACGAGCGTCAAACACAGAAACACACCTGAGCAGGTGCTACGGAAATAAACAGTCCAAGGGGTCGTGACCCTGACAGCGATGTCTCAGGGGCGGGATAAATGCTGGAGGCGGGGTTAACGTTCTATGATGTTGATACCTGATTAACCTGACCTCTGACCTCTAACTTGCCTGTTTGCGGTCACTTCCTGCAGCACAACGCGCCGATCCCTCAGGGAGGCCGCGGGGCGATCCAGTTTGTCACGCAGTACCAGCACTCGTCAGGCCAGCGACGCATCCGGGTCACCACCACCGCCAGGAAGTACGAACACACTTGCCTCCACCCCATCACTACACACACACACACACACCTGAATTAATCCTGGTCCCTTCTCTTCCCCTCAGCTGGGCCGATGCTCAGACGCAGATTCAAAGCATCGCGGCGTCCTTTGACCAGGAGGCGGCGGCCATCCTCATGGCGAGGTTGGCAGTGTACCGGGCAGAGACGGAGGAGGGGCCGGACGTGCTCAGGTGGTTAGACAGACAGCTGATCAGACTGGTAGGAGAACACACCTGCAGAGTGAGCGCCACGATTGATCCGAACAGGAAGCAATTGATACCTGTGTTTGTGTTCAGTGTCAGAAGTTTGGCGATTACCACAAAGACGACCCGAACTCCTTCCGGTTCTCCGAGACCTTCTCCCTGTATCCCCAGGTGACCCGACTCCCGTAACGCTCTGCGCAGACACACCTGTGACACGCACCGGGACACAGGGCTGACGTGTGTTTGTGTGTTTCAGTTCATGTTCCACCTGCGGCGTTCGCCGTTCCTGCAGGTGTTCAACAACAGTCCTGACGAGAGCTCGTATTACCGACACCACTTCAACCGGCAGGACCTGACGCAGGCGCTCATCATGATCCAGCCGGTGCTCTACGCCTACTCCTTCAACGGCCCGCCTGAGGTACCTGTACACCTGTGTGCACACAGTGCAGAGTAAGCAGCTGGATGTGCAGGTGTTTCATGTTTCAGAATCTGAAGCTCTCATTGGGAAACAAACTGTGAGTTATTGATCACTGATCGATTAACTGATCAGACTGTGTGTGTGTTTCTAGCCCGTCCTGTTGGACAGCAGCAGCATCCTGCCCGACCGAATCCTTCTGATGGACACGTTCTTCCAGATCCTCATCTACCACGGAGAGGTACACCCGACACCACCAATCACACCCCAGCACCGCGTGACATCACAGCTGTCTAAGCCAATCAGGGTCCAGTAATTTAATTAGGATAGAGCCACAATTATCATTCAGATGGTTTCTTTAAACGTGATCCAGCTGTTTCCATCACAGATGTGACGCTGAGCTGAGTTCCCACCTGATTTCAGTCCAACTCTCAAACCTGAACGTGCTTCAATCAGCTGTTTGCAGTTTTACCTGCTGAGCTCGTTCATATCCTCTCGTTAACTCAACAATTCACCTCACATGAGCTCAAAACACACAAATCTTTAAAGAACCATGATAATGAGCTGACCCGTGCAGGTGTACAGTTGTGTCTCACTGCGTCTCTCTGTTAGACTGTGGCTCAGTGGAGGAAGGCCGGCTATCAGGACATGCCCGAGTACGAGAACTTCAAACACCTGCTTCAGGCTCCGGTGGACGACGCCCAGGAGCTGTTGCACACGCGCTTCCCCATGCCGAGATACATCGACACGGAGCACGGCGGCAGCCAGGTGAGGGCGCAGGCACACACCTGAGAAACACATCAGCTTTATTTACATCACCTCAGATCACGAGGCGTGACATCAGCACAGCGGCAATGTGACATCATCAACAATTTCCCGGTGCAAACTCTCCTTTTTGCACCTGTGCCCACACCTATACACACCTGTAGACATGATCAGCAGGTGAAAAGTTTTCTTCTTCTGCTGTTTTCAGGCTCGCTTCCTGCTCTCCAAAGTGAACCCCTCCCAGACCCACAACAACATGTACACCTGGGGGCAGGTAAGACTTTAACCTGTAATCTTTAACCTTTAAATGTGGACCAATCAGACGCTGTGTTTACACAAGTCCGCCCCCCCCACCGCAGGAGTCCGGTGCTCCGATCCTGACAGACGACGTCAGCCTGCAGGTGTTCATGGACCACCTGAAGAAGCTCGCTGTCTCCAGCGCCGCCTGAGTGTGCCATCGGCTCACCTGTCCTCATCTGTTTGCTTTTTATTTGTTTTCTTGCTGCCTATGTTTCCATGGCAACAGTTCACAAGCACCATCAACTAATCAGCAGCAGGTTTAGAGTTGTAACCTCACAGTGTAGAGATGCTATTGTTAATTGGCCTTTTTAAAAAAAATTAAGTTGCATTTGATTGGTTGATCCTCTCAGACAGCGGCAGTGATAGCTTTCAAAATAAAAGCCACTGTGTAGTTTTAGTCTGTGAAGCTTTTATTGTGAAACAACAGCAGGAAGTGGTGGCCGTCGGGAGTTTTTCCCCCCTAAAAGGTTTCAAATTGATTTTAAAATTTTAACATGTGATTTTTTTTTTTTTATTTAGGAACAGGAAACAGGAAGTGAGGTGTTTTGTTTTTTTAGAAAGCATGTGATGTCACTGAGCGCGCGAAGCTGTCTGCTTGTGTTTGAACACTAACCGAGAACGAGCGCAGAGGTTCACCTTGCCACTGTTCTCGTCTTTCTAATAAAATCTGCAGAATTTTACAGAGTTTGTCTTCTTCTGAAACGTGAAGCTCTGATGTCATCAGAGACGCAGCACCTATGCATGTGTGACTGAGCCCAGTGTTTTATAAAGCACTGTCTGACACCCTGCAGACGGTCTGTTTGTAACTGTAATCGGCTGTAGACAAGATGATCACAGGACTACGGTCGCCTCCACCTCTGCTCAGACACCATCAGTCATCCCAGCAAATAGCACCACCCCATATTTAAAAATCCACTTTAGGGTCACACTTTTCCTTTAAAGTGTGAAAAGGAAAAGCAACCTAACAGACCCTCAAGGAGCTTCTGCTGTCAGTCGAACAGAGTCCGACTTTTACCCTGAATTAACCTGAGTGACCCGCCTCACCATCTGAGCATTCCCACTCACACAGGTAAAAACAATAAGCCAAGCTGTGGGGTCCTCAACATGTGCCACACCCACAGAAACAGACACCTCTGCTAAAAAGCTGCAGGTGAGCAGGTGGAGTGGAGCTCAGCACTGTCTCAATTCAGGGGCTGCGTCCTCCTAAGGACCCGGCCTTCACAGTCTACGTGGGCCGGGTCTTCCAAAGACCGAGAAGGCCAGAAGTGAGAGGCTGTGAGATGGGACGGTCTAGCCTTCAGATCTGAGCCACCAGTGGAGTTTAATAAACTCGGCCGTCTGCTCCTTGCTATCTAAAATATAACAGGACACTGGAGTAAACTCTCAGGCATCTCACACTTCTGTTTAATCAGTTTTCTGTTTGATGTTTATTCAGCTGTGTGAAAAAAAAAATTGGCTGGACCGCGCTATGAATTCTGGGATAAGGTGGGCCACGAAGGACACACCCGACCCATCCTTCAAATTCTGGAAAAAGGAGGATGCATTTGGCTGTATTAGGAGGAGTTCACAGCCTTCGTCATGTTGTCGTTGTTATCGGCCTTCAAATGCGGCCTCCGGAGGATGCAGCCTTGGAATTGGGACACAGCCACTGTCTGGGTCTGAGCTTCCTTTACTCAGCAGCATCCTTCTTGAAAGGAGGGGAGAGGTAAGTATAGTAAATTTGTGGTCCTCCTACCTAAACGTGGGACACACATACATACACAGAGGTCTGCTGCTGTGTTTCATAACTGAATCTGACTTCAGATCAGCGGAAAGATGAACAAATGTTTAAAATAAAATCTAAAAAGTTTTTTTATTATTTGTGAAAATGAAACTTAAACTTTGATAATTGTTTACTACTGTTTTTATTCCAAAGTATCCGAGTACTCTTAATCAGGAGGCAGAGGAGGAAACTACCTGAACTATGAATCCCACCAGCAGGTGGCGGTCATGCGCAGTGAGTAGACACACAATCCACGTGTCAGTCCAAACGAAACGGCATGAGACTGGAATCACATTTATCCAGTGATGGGATACGTTTGACGTTTAGCGTGTTTGGGGTGTGTAGTTAATGTGCTGTCTTGTGTAGTTAGTGTGTAGTGTTGTGGATAGTTTTGTGTTGTGTGTCAGAACAATGAGGCGACTGTTGTCTCCAGGTAGAAACAGGAGTGATACACCTGCTGCTGTCAGACCTGCAGGTATCAGACTGTGATGTTCTCCTTTGGAGTGGCACAAATAATTTGTCTTATTAAATGCAGAACAGCTGATTGTTCTGTAAACAGTTTCAAGTGGTTATAAAAAAGGGTAAAAGGTAAATGGCTGCAAATAACTTTGTTTGCAAAACTTGTGCATAGGATTTTAGAACTGACAAATATTTGCATTTAAAGTTATGAAATATGATTCAACGAACTCTCAGATTTTATGTTTTTTGTCTGATTCTAGATCAATGTTGTTAATACAGTTTGTCAAAATGAAAACATGACTGTAAATTCAGACATGTGAGGTTGTGCTGAAAAGGATGAGACCAAACACGGCAAATAAACAGTTTTTAAAGGTGAAATGTGGAGGAAACATCAAAGTGGTTAAAATGGGCAATTATACCCTGGACCTCAGAGGGTTAAACGTTTATTTTAAGTAACACAATAGTTACTTTTCAAGTAATTAATTACTTTTAGAATCTTGTAACTCAGTTACTAACTCAGTTACTTTTTTGAAGAAGTAACTAGTAACTATAATTAATTATTTAAGTAACTTGCCCAACACTGCATTTATCCATCGACTGGAAGACTTTATTAAAGAGAGCCGAGTTTACACACAGCAGAACCCAGCAGGCTTCCTTTCACACTCCACCTGATGGAGGTGAGCACCTGGAACATATGGAGCGCCAGGACTGCCATAATGAATTAATTAAATAAACCATTAAATAATTAATTAAATGTGGCAATAATTAATTACAATTGGAATTAATTAATTAAATAAATAGTTATGACACATGTAATTAATTAATTATTGAAACATTTAATTAATTATTGACACATTTAATTAATTATT